GCGTGCTGAACATCCACATATTTACTTTACTAGTGAATGCAGTGTTCAGCAAGCCTGAGCGCTAATTTTATTTTTTTTAAACAATTGGCAACAATTTAATAATCCCCTCTACTCCTGTAATTATTTTCCACAGGAATTAAATACTGAAAACTGTTCTTACTCTGTTCCGTACCTGAGAGAAAGAAACACTGCATGAAGTTGGTTTCAGCAGTGAGAACTGCATTGTAAAATGACTTTAAAAAAGAGCCATCAAGATGCTTATTGTATGGTTATAATTAGAACTTGGGAAAAATTGCCCGAGTATGGTCCCAGACATACATATGGGAGGCTCTAGGCTGAAATAATCACGACATTCTGAAAAGGTTTACGTACAAGAAAACAGAGATGTTCTGATTAAATTCCAAATTGCGGTTCTGAAAACATCAAGCACTATTAACTTAGCCTCTAATGGGCAATGAAGTTTTTTTGCCTCGTTTTTGTTTAACATTTGGCTTGCTGCTTTTTATTCAAATGAAACTGTTATGCACAGAAATAATACATTCATACAAACAATCGCAACAGGGAAGACACTTCAGAATCATTACTGTTTTTTTCATATCATCTCACAAGTGCTCAAGAAAGGCCCATGTAGTAATGAAATCTTTGCACTAATACAAACTGCTTTTTAAAAAAACCTCCAGCCACCTTGGAAAAATTTGGATGTGAAGAACTTAATTTCTCAAGCTAAAACCCATGCATTTAAAATCACAGCACATGGAAAGGGTCACTATCTACCTGGGCTAAGCATGGAACACAAAGGTAATCAAATCAGAAAGAGTTAGATGGTCACATCTGAAAAGACACAGATCATTTTAACAAATTATTTAGGAGGAGTTGCAGCCTTTTACTTTTCCTGGTCTACTTGCAAGAAATATTTTTTTTTTTTTTTAGGATATACTCTGTGACTAGACAGTGAAAATGTTTCCCTCCACCACAAAAACACCACTGGCCTGCTTTCAAACCTCCCTGAATGCTCAGGCTTAATTGCAGTTTGGCTACAGAATGGGCATCGCTTCATTACAGATTCATTACAGAGGAAGCAGTCAATGACCTGCTATGCCACCTGGACACTCACAAGTCTATGGGGCCGGATGGGATCCACCCGAGAGTGCTGAGGGAGCTGGCGGAGGTGCTCGCCAAGCCGCTCTCCATCATTTATCAGCAGTCCTGGTTAACGGGGGAGGTCCCGGGCGACTGGAGGCTTGCCAATGTGACGCCCATCTACAAGAAGGGCCGGAAGGAGGAT